TCTCATAGTAAGCCTTGTCTATTCATCAGTCAGCTTCAATAATTCTGCCATGCTTGTATTGCTTATTCATTCACCCACACCCCTCTTTTAATTTTACTACTGTTTTTCTATAGTTAAAATTAACATAAGTTAAAATAGCAGATCTTAGCTACAGTATTTTGACAATCAAACATACCTGAGTGACACACACCCCTTTCACAATATAGAATATTTCTGTATCTTGAGAAAGTCCCCTTCCAGACTATCCTTGCCCCTCCTCTTCCAAGACACAACCACAGTTCTGAGTTTTATTAACTTTAGTTTTACCTATTCTTGAGCATCTACAAATTGGTTCATGCAGGATGTAACTTTTTGTGTCCAGCTTCTTTTACTCAGCATAATACTATGAAATTCATCCGTGCTGCTACCAGTATATTATTGGTTCCTTTATGTTATTATTATTTAATAGTATCCCTTTGGATCAATTACATGCCATAATTTGTCTATTCTTTCTTTTGTTGATGGATAGTTTGGTTGGATCCACTTTTTAGTTATTGTACATAATAATAATAAAAGCAGAATATGCTAATTAGACCAGATGTCCTTCCGGACGACCTTCTGAACGAAGTTGGGACTGTGAGGGCTGAGGCAAGCTGCCACAGCTGCAAAGGCTGAGCCCCTTGCACAAATTTTATGCATTGGGCCTCTAGTTGTATATAAAGCTGTTGTGGATATTTTTGTATGAGGCTTTTTGTGGATACATGTTTTCATTTCTCTTGGATAAAATGCCCCAAAGTGGAATTATGCATCAAAGTGTAGTTGTACTTTTAGCTTTAAAGTTTAACCTTTTCTCAAAATGGTTGTAAAAAGCTTTGAGGGGAGGGGGGTTAACTTGATAATTAAATTAAATGGTCAAGAAAATCAAAACACCATAACAAGTGGAATATTACTTTCAAGATGAGGAATATTATTTTCTCCTTGTTCCTGTCTAACTCACTGCTTCAAACTATAGAAAAACATTTTCCTTAGGTTTTTGTTTTGTTTTGTTTTTTGGTGTGTGTGTGTGTGTGTGTGTGTGCATTCTTCTAATTTTTAAATACAATTATGAGTAAATAAACACATTTGTCCCCTTTCATCTTGTCCTACCAAAGTTAGCCTACTATATATCCATAATGCATCTTCCTATTTTCCCTTAACAATGTATCTTGGTGTCTTTCCATATTGGTGAACAAAGAGGTTATTCCTCATTCTTTAACTAAACACTGGACAAAGCTGCAGCAGCTGGGGGCAAGGCAGAAGCAGTTAGGGGTGATCAGGCAAGCAGGCAAGCAATTAGGGTGATCAGGCAGGCAGGCAGAATAGTTAGGGCAATCAGGCAGGCAGGGAGGCAAGCAGTTAGGGGCAATCAGGCAGGCAGGCGAGTGGGTAGAAACCAGCAATCCCGGATTACAAGAGGATGCAGGATGGGCTGAGGGACCACCCCCTCCCCCGCACCAATTTCATGCAGCAGGCCTCTAGTTTTTTATATATATGATTAATTTTCAGAATGGTGCTTTAGCATCAGGAGACCAGGGGTTACAGGTATTTATAATTTTGATACTATTGTCAAATTGTGCCTCTAATCATTTATGACATGCATCACTTCCATCAATCTTGTCCATATTCTTGCCAACAGAGTGCACTGTGTACCTGGATCTTCACCATTCTCAAACATTTCAACCTAAGAATCCTGAACAGCTAAGAAAAACAAACATGAAAAAACCTCACCCGCTATGATTTTGTGAGGGGAGGTACTAAGCAGGACCAGCTACATAATTTGGAGGCCAAGTACAAAATGAAACAATGGAATCCTTGTTTAAATAATTACAATTTCAAAATAGTAAGAGAACAGCATTAAGGCAAGTATGGAACCCTTGTAAGCATGTGTCCTGCTGCAATGGTACAGGTCATAAGCCCATAAATGCTGTCTCTACTCCTAAGCATCATAATAAAAGCAACAACAATAAAAAATCTTTGAATAAGTACCTTATTTTATCTAAAATTGTGTAAATTTTTGCACTCTACTTTATATAGTAATTATGCTTTTTATTACTTATATCAAATTAAATTGACCTTTCAGGAAAGCATACTGGCTCAGAGCAGAAGGCACCTCCCTTGTAGCCTGATAGGAAAACTATAGGTGACATCTTTCAGAACTTCCCTACTTCCAGACAAGCTTTTTAACACTAGTCATATAAATACAAGGCCACTACTTTTCTTGACTCTCATCTAAATAAATTACTGCTATGATGGGAATTGGATGCCAAGTGGAAGCTGGTGTTGGGACAGTATTGGAAGATCTATACATTCAAAATTGCACTTGATGTTGGTCTTAATGTCTCATAATGCAATGTCCATAAGAGCTTGAATTTCCCTTCTTAGAGCAGTGCCCTATATAATAGAGCTCTTAATGCCTCTATATTCTCAGAATGCTTATCATCATGGTGTCCGGCACCCTGAGAAGCAGTGTTGGTGGGCTGGAGATGAAGCCAGAGGAAGTTTCCTAAAAGAACTTGGGATCGTCACTTCTGAAATCATAGAAAGCAAGTGAGGTGGAGGGAAAGAGACAAGTTTCCGTGAGATATTGGGAGAGGACATTTACTGTGATGCCAGCTGTTGTGTTGGCTTAATATCTTTATACCTTATATCTTTACATCATCTGCAGAGCTCCCTTCTTAGGATGGTGCTACAAACAGGTAGTACCTGAAAAGGAAAGAAAAACAGAGACACAGAGAGAGAGGCAAAGCAACATCTACCCACATTGGCAAAAGAGAAAAAGTAGAACTGAATGCCAAACAATAAACTATAGCCAATATACTCATGAGGATCAGGGCAAGAGGGAGGCACAATTTGATCATATGTTAAATTAATTCACACTTTCATGCCATTACTGCATTTATGTTCATCCAGATGGCCCTGTGTCACTGTTCTCTGCTCTTTTGCCACCCCCTGCTGGCAGTGCCAAGGAGCAGTCCTCAGGTCAAACCTGCAGCAAGCACCAGGGAGGAGGTGAGGAAATGAAATGGTGTTTTATGCAGCTGTGCTTCACAAACCTTAATATGCATATGAATTGCCTGGGAACCTTGGTAAAATGCAGTTTCTTATTCAGTAAGTCTGAGCTTGGCCCAGAGTCTACATTTCTAGCAGGTGATTCTGGTCCATAGCCTATGCTTTGAATAGCACCATCTCCTATCATCAGAAACCACCAGCATGAAAACCCCTTCCTGAGGTTTTCCAATTTCATGGAGAATTAGTGCCTATGGCATGTAAGTAGTTCTGTATCCAATGGTGGATCCAGTCCACAACAGAAGAGTTTAAGTTCTTTGGAAATGTTCCTCCAGTTGTATCAGTGATTTACTTCTGTACAAGTCATCAGCTTCATCACACTGCTGATGAAATTAGAAGATTGAAACCTAGTTAGAAAATGCTGTGATGGCTTTGCCACATAGAATTAGATTTTTATTTTAGAAGGGTCGTTTAAGCCGCCCTCTCATTTTATAGCTCCGGAAGCTGAGGCACAGAGAGATGTGTGACTGGACCACAGTCACACAATATGCTGACAGCAGCCAGACTAAAATCTAATTACACTTACAAAGTCCTCTTGCTGTCTGTCCAGTCACTTCCTATTTGTCTCTTTGTCTAAGTGATCAGACTCATATCTGCTAAATTCTATAGATCATTGAAGTCCTAAATGGCAGTTGATGAAGCTCAAAAAATACATATGATGGCATGTATTGTCCTTTTATAAATTAGTGTCCAGCTCTCTTATCAGTAGAATTAGCGTTTAAATATCCATTAGAAGGAAAAGAAATACTAAACCTTGTCTTATTAGCATCCCCTATCTTGGGTGTTTAATCCTCATTTTGATTTATCCTTCTTCCCAACTCCAATTTATTGCAATAGAACAGTTTAGGTTACAATGAATATTCTTTAAAATTTCCAAAAACAAAAATAATAATAATAATAATTCCATATAGTGGAGATGGAAAGATTACTAATCATGTTTTAAGTGAGTGAGGTATTTATTTGGGGAGATGAAAGGATTATATTCAGAAATATTCATCAGAACTAAGTAGCAAAATGGACAGACTTATAAGACCCTTAATTGAGGCCATCCTCAAAGAAAGGTTAGCCATCAACTAAGTAATTTCACATCCGCAGCATCAAAATTCACTTCAGAGTGAAGCATAGTAACCCCCATCTTGAGTAAAAACTGCTGTTTAAAATTTTAACCCCGCTATCCTGACTTCTGTAAACATTTGCTTGCTTGAATAATAGGGTAATTGGCCCAAGTGACTCCATTTTGACCTCCGTTTCCAGAATAAGACCTGGAAACTCACATAAATCACCCCATTTTGCTGCCAGCCCCATTGTAGTCTTACAAAGGCCATTCTTCTGTGCCTGAGAACCAGAACCTCAAAAAATGATTCCCATTGACCCAGTAGCTTCAGGGCCTGAAACTATAGGTAACCTCAAAAGATAGCTAACATGGCTCAGTTTGGCTTCTGTACAAACCACTTTCCCAAGGTAGTTCCACATTCCAACATCTTAGCAGGATAGATGGTTTTTCCTTTATAAGCTTGTTCCTGTCCTCACTCGGGGCTGCGAGATCCGGAGAGCTAACGCCCCCTCCTAACCGCGGGCTTTTGAATTGAAGACTCCTTGATTCGATTTTGCGACTGAAGCATCCTCTGTCCGACCAACGGGCACATCACAACAAGAGTTCGTCAGCAATTTTCATGCCTGACTGGTGAGTGAGAGGTGAATTTCCCACTGTCCTTTCCATTCTCCAGGAAAGAAAAAAAGAAAAAGAAAAAAAAAGGCACGAGAGTAAATAAAGTTTCCTGGCCTCTGAGATCCCACCCAATGCAAGCGTAGAATGAGATGAGCAAAGTGAGTGGGCGAGTTAAATCGTTTGTAACAAGAGCCCATTATTTACAGATGAGAAATTTATATTGTCAGCGTAATATCTGTGAGGCTCACCAGCGCTGGGGAGTATATAAAAGCAGCGCGCTTTGGGGCAGAGGTACAGCGCTCAGGACCCAGCTCAGCTCCAGCTCCAGAGGGCTGGCTCTCTCTCCACCTGCTCTGCTCCGCTCCTGGTATCAGAAGGTAAGATTCCTACTGAGCGCCTGTAGGACTGTCTATTCTGATTTGGGTGCCGTTAAGTATTGTTAAGGGGATAAAATGTTATGAATTCAAATGTTGTTCTTTCATCTGACACTTTTCACTAACAATGCACAGGGCAGAATTGAGATGAAAAGGTGATACAAAATGTATTTACATAAACGTCAACCCAAGGGAAGCCGCAAAATGAGTGGGGAAAATAATTCAATAAAAAGATATGAAGTTGAAAAAAAAAAAAAGCGAAGATTCTAATCAATGCTTTACTGCTATGAGAACTGTGTGTTTAAAACAAGGGGTAACGTTTTAAAAATATATTTCTTTATTGATTTCAGAGAGGAAGGGAGGAGAGAGAGATAGAAACATCAGTGATGAGAATCATTGATCAGCTGCCTCCTGCACCCCCCCCCCCACTGGGGATCGAGACGGCAACCCAGGCAGGGGTAACATTTTAAGTATATAAGTATTTTTCTTAGGTTTGATTAATATGTATATTACTTTGAACAGACGGCGCCTTTTACATTCAACAGAAATGTGTCCATTAGAGAGGCTATAATACCAATTGCTCTTTACCAATGAAAACTTATCATTTTCCAAAAGAGAAGAATCAACATCACCTTTCAAATATTCAAATATCTTATAAGTCTATCAAAAACTCAAAGTCCATGAAATTAGCTGCTTGAAAATAACACAGCACATTAGGTGCAGTGAACTAATCAATTATTGGAAATTCTTTGAATGGAGCAGAGTGAAACCTCCGATTAATAATTATCTACTATGTATTGAGAACCAGTAGCAATAAATAAAATGTCTAAAATGCCCACATTCTGAAATAAGACTTTAGTAAATCTCTATAGAAACAAAATCAGATGTTCTAAAATACCTATTTAAGCCCTTGGGGACAAAGAATGGTTTTACAAAGATCCTCAATGGAGTAAATGATCAAGTGGTGTGTTTTCCCACACATACCCAGGACCTACGAGAGGAAATGAGCTGATCAGTTTTTAAAAAGTATGTATTTAGCTTACAGCACCAATACACTTAGAGATATTATATAATGTCACTTGCCTGTGTCTAAGAATAATCTTTCTAAAAGACTTCCTACACAGAGAAGTCTATTGTTCCCATATTTTCCCTTTAAACTTGAGTGGAAATGTGTGGTTTTTACAAACCTACACACTCTCTCCTTAGGCTATCCGAATGAGATGGAGGTGAGTAACTGGAAATTCTTCTATTATTGAATAAAATTTTGAATCTAAAATAATATAAGCATTTGCTTTCTCAGTAGAGGCATTCAAACAAACTTATTCTCAAAGTTTTTCACAGTTCTGTAAACTTACAAATGAATGAATGAATGAAATTTTAAAAATCAGTTTCTCTTTCAGTAGAACTCAATTCACTGCCTATAGAGGATTTGGAACATTCACTTGTTTCCCCTCCATCAGCTCCCTCAGCAGCAGAATAGCACATGCTCTAAATCTCCCCTCATATAGAATATAATGAAGATTGTGTAAAACCTTTAGGGACTTTGCATAGAAGGAATTACTTAGGACTAACTTGTTTTTGCAACAGTGTTGTCATTCTAAAAGAAATCTTTTTTTTTTTTTTAATTCCGGGAAGCATGAATTTATAATTAAGATGTATAATCAGAAGACACTACCTACATAAAGAGCAAAGTTTCCAAAGTTTGCCAACTAGATCACCCGAAGCATAGCAAAATGCCAAATTAGAAATTTCATGTTGATGAATGAAGAAGGGTGAATATGTAATTACAATTATGTTGCTTTGTTTAAGTAATTGCTTAATCTAAAGAGACTTAATATTTCAAAGGAAAAAAAATACCACTGCTGGTATTCCAGTCTCCATGTTTTAGTGCCAAAGTTAGACAGTAAATATGGCTAGGATGTTAAAGAAAAGATTGATAGTTTGAAATGATAATATTTGTAAAATCCTTATTTCAAACCAAATGCCATTTGCTAAAAATACTCATTCACATTATTTATGGATAAACACAATCAAACTTGGATTGAAATCCCCACTTCTCACGGAAACATGGTGGGACCTGAGTAGCAGAGAGAAGTCCATGACAAATGCTGGACTTGAGGTTTCTATTTAAAAATAGAGTTTTCCCCGTGGGGATCTTCTGCCCCAAATTCGTTTTCATTCCCACTTTGCACATGGTATCATCACGCCCATGGCATCCTGTGGCTTCATGGGGCATCTGCTTGCGGTACAAGGACAAGCGACCAGGTGTATCTTGCAACTAGGCCTAGGGTGTCACAAGCTCTGAGTGACATGTCCTGGACTAAGTCCAATTATAAAACAACCTGGGGACTTCCGAGACTTCAGAAACAGACATTCATTTTTATTATGACAGTGATCTCTTGAGTTTCTTACTTGTGATTGTTCAAGTTGCCAGAAGCATTAGTGCTTGTTGCAAATTGCTTGTCTTTAAAACAATTTTTCCCCCCTTTAATTTAGAACAGGTCAAAGCACCCTAAAATACCTCAAATCTGTTGGCCGCTTTATAATTACAAAGTCTAGACCAAGTTACACTATTTAAAATATAAATGAATAATACATCTGAACCGACAGCTGGTATGCCAAGTTGTAGCCCGAGGCTGCTTTAAGATGGTTGAAATGCAGTATAATGTAAATGCTTGGGAGTGAAGGACTATTAATTGAAAGCCAGACTGATAGTGAAGGGAATGGCATTATGGATAAGGTGACATTCAGGCTAACCATATGTAGCATATCATCTACATTGGGTATCTTAAATGTTTATCATAGACATTTTTAATTCCAAATCTGGAAATGAGCCTTCTAATAATTCAGAGAAGTGTCCTACATTAATGAAAAACCTTAAAGGTGGTACACATTTTTTAAATCCTTTTTTTTTTTTTTTTGCCACCAAAAAAAAAATCTGGGGGAAAATATACTTTTTAAAATATACTCAAAATAAAATGGATTTTCTTTTTATTTATAACATTTACTTCATCACAGTTAAATTAATTGAGCCTGACGTGTTTAAATATGGTTGCCTTTCTCCCTCCCTTGTCTCTGCGCACCAACAGGCAGCAAAAATGAAAAGCATTTACTTTGTGGCTGGATTATTTGTGATGCTGGTCCAAGGCAGCTGGCAACGCTCCCTTCAGGACACGGAGGAGAAGGCCAGGTATTCAACTTTAGACTTGAACTCACATAGCACGATGGTTATAATACAGCCCGTGAAAACCATGATTTGTGAAGTGGTCTCAGTAACTGAGAGTAAATACTCTGTACAATTTTAAAAAGTTTAAAATATCATTGTGATAAAGTTGTTTCTGGAGTATAGATCAGAGTATGTTGTTTCACAACCAAAGGAGTAGGCTATGTTGGAAAATGTGTTACATGGGAAATTATAGCTTGTTGAAATCTTCAGCTGATCCTATCTATCCATTCATTACTCACACACTGCATAGTAGATTATTTTAATTATTCACACCAACTTTCTCTTTTTTTATTCCTTTTTAAAAAAAAATAACACTGTTTCTTACTAATTGTAAAAGTCATACATGTTCATGATACAAAATATGCAAAAAATATTATGTATGTACTGAATATAGAATATATCTCAGATCATTATACAGCTTCATATTATGCTTTTTATCTTAGCATTGTATTGTTAGCTCTTTTGTATAGCATTACAAATATCAAATGTATTATATGATATTTAATAGCTGCATACTAGTTCATCTCATAAATGTACAATATTTATTTAGCTATTCCTCCTCTATTGAACACTTGAGTTCTTTACATTTTCCCACAAAGAATGCTGCAAATAACTTTTCTCCCTACATTTTTTACTTTTTCCTGAGGCTAGATTTTTGGTACTAAAATTACTGTGTCAAAGAGTTTGAATAAGTTTAAGTCTTTTATAATATCTTGCCAGCTTGCTTTCCAGAAAAGTCATACACATGCACACTCTCATCAGCCTTATAGAAATACTCCTTTCATAATACCCTCCCCAAATTTAATCTTTGCTGTTTTGACCTGTGAGAATAATATATCAATTCTATTTCTGAGTATTAATTCTATTGAATATTTCTCCATATTTGCCATGGCAAACAACTGTTGATTACTGGCATGTGGATTACCCACTACACAGTTTGAAATTAGCAAGTGGGCTTTTCTTGGCATTCTTTAAATTTTAATTGTCTTTCTCTTTCATCATCAGCTATCATGTAACCAGGTAATGGAACTACATTTTTATATTAACACATACAAACAAAATTCAGAACACAGATCAGCTGTCTTTGGGATTCTTCACTCTTTTAAAATAGTCAAGTCATTGCTCTCTTTTACTAGCAGAATCACAAGTACATTAATTACTTTTAAAAACTATTTACTTAATCTCATTTCAGTAAAGAGGAATCCAGTTAAAAATCTGCTACCAGGCTGAAACTGGTTTGGCTCAGTGGATAGAGCTACCAGTCAGTCTGTGGACTGAAGGGTCCCGGGTTCAATTCTGGTCAAGAACATGTAATTGATTGTGGGCACATCCCCGGTAGGGGATGTGCAGGGGGCAGCTGATCAATGTTTCTCTCCCATCGATGTTTCTAGATTTCTATCCCTCTCCCTTCCTCTCTGTTAAAAATCAATATATATATATATATATATATATATATATATATATATATTTTTTTTTAATCTGCTACCAGGATTCATAATCAGAGTGTATTCAACTCTAATATAAAGCTCTGAGATTCCCATAGCAAACAAGGCATCTCTCATATCAACTGAAATGCTCAAGGCACCTGCCTTTCAATTTCATGTGGCCTTGTGTTCTGTAGAGAAGATGCTTCTTGAGTGAGTCCACTCGAGGAGAGACTAAGTTGCACCGATCACTTTTCTTCACAGCTCCTTCCCAGCTTCCCAGGCAGACCCGCTCAATGATCCCGATCAGATGAATGAAGACAAGCGCCACTCCCAGGGCACTTTCACCAGTGACTACAGCAAGTATCTGGACTCCAGGCGTGCCCAAGATTTTGTGGAGTGGTTGATGAACACCAAGAGGAACAAGTGAGAGTCTAAACCTAGCTCCAAATTTGCACACAAATGTATTACTTAAATATGTCTAAAGTATCTCCTGACTTTCAGTATGTTATCATGCTCATCAAATAGGGCGGATAAGCTCTTTCAACTTTGATGATTTCAGGGTTGGAGATGCTATCCTTCATACTAGCCTCTGAAAGTCCCACTTCTCACCCTGCAAATGCCTTACCCACTCTGTAATAAAACGTAGATTTTAAATTATTTTCCCCACTGTGGTCTTAGCAATATTTACTCTCTTACCCATTTTCTATTAAAATTGAAAGCTGACACTTTTAGACCTGAAAGGTTAGGAATCTATTTTTTGACCAAAAGATAAGAGCAAATTCAACATTCCCTTGTAGGGTTCAAACTCACAACTGTGATCACATTTAAAGTAACCCCTAGCCAAGTTAATCATGGTAAGGAATGGAAACAGATGCAGTCGTTTTCTTGTAGCATACAATCCGAGATACACATTTAAAATCATAGCCTAGCCGCCCCGCATAAAGAGAGAAGAAGGCCAATAAGAGCACAAGCCCTTCGTAAGGCATACATTTTAATGCTGGATTTTCGTTGACAGTGTTGGGTTTTACGATGCATGTAGGCTACTGAAGGAAATCTTCCACGAAGGTTTCACAGAGATGGTGGAATTTCACAATTTCTTTGGAGAGTGGCCCACAGGGGAAGGGGGGTGTGCATACAAAGTAGCTGAAGGAATCTAAATATCAGGATAAGGACATAGATTTGCCTGGAGATAGAGAGAGAGAGAGAGAGAGAGAGAGAGAGAGAGAGAGAGAGAGAGAGAGAGAATGCATATGGGTCAGCAGGAAGAATTGGAGAGACAGAGTGGTTTACCAAAAGTTCTTAAAGTGGAGAGCGTGACAGGAAAGATGGTGGTCATGGTCAGAGCAGACATTGGAAGAAGTCCCTGTTAGTGATACAGACATGACCACTGGTGACAGAAGAGAAATCCCAAATCTGAAAAAAAAAAAAAAAAAAAAAAAGAAAGAAAATAATTATCCTCATTTCTGGAAAGGGAATGCTACAATTTGGTAATCTAATATAAAATAATCCTAACTCTCAGGTAATTTCTGTTATGTGTTTAAGATGAAACCTTTCAGGGGTAATAGATGCAGGAGGGCAGCTGGTCAACCACCTTCACAGATCACATTTGGGGATGATATGGAGTCATCAGATTAGCTTCTTCACTGCTGTCCCATCACATTTTTCCTTTCATCCATTATCATGTGGTCCTTTTGAGGACATTTTGAGATGGTCCTTAGCTTTCCTTTACTCGTTTAACTATTTAACTATGTCTGACCCCGGAAGTATTAATAACAAATAGCTGCTTGTTTGCAAGCTGCAAAGCACAGTGATACACTGAGGCTGCAGGAAATGCAACAGTGATAATCAGTGGCACAGATAATCAGAAGAGGTGAAAATGGGTGTTATTTGCTATTACCTTAATTGCTATTATGTCTCTCCCATCAATTGTCAGTTCAGATAATTCATGTAGTTTCAAGACGAGTCTCCTAACGACCCTCATCTCCTAAATCTCCCTAAGCCTCTTCAACCCCAAGCTGCCACTACTTATAGGTGAGAACCATATTGCTAAAGAGACAGATCTTCAATGTAACGTTCACATTTCTTTCAGGAATAACATTGCCAAACGTCATGATGAATTTGAGAGACATGCTGAAGGGACCTTTACCAGTGACTTAAGTACTTATTTGGAAGACCAAGCTGTCAGGGAATTCATTGCTTGGCTGGTGAAAGGCCGAGATAGGAAAGAGTAAGTCTGTACACTCTTATTTAACTTTATCTTTTTTTTTTTTGCTTGATGTTGAAAACTTACACTACAGTTATCTATTTATGGATTTTAGTTATAGAAGCAATTAATATAGTCTCGCAAAGTAAGGACTCTTATTGGTGGGAGACAATCAACAAGAATTTAATATGTTTTATCTGTAGTAGCAAGTATTAATAATGGAGTCAAACAGGTGGTATTTTTATCCCACATTAGAGTTGTGTTATAATTAGGCTATTAATTTGTCAATTGAAGACACTTTTGAGAATAGGGTGCTATTGAGAACTATATCAGGATGATAAGCTTAAACTAGAAAACTAGGGATAAGGAAAAAAAGAAACAATGCTGAAAACTTAAAGTTTGACTTTAGGTATTAACATATATTTGTGCTACTGTTTAGCTAATCCTACATAATAAAAGCCTAATATGCAAATCAACTGAACAGTAGAACCACTGGTGGAATGTCAGGTCTCTATGATGTGTACTGACCACAGGGGGCAGATGCTCAGTGCAGGAGCTGCCCCCAGCCCACAGGCCCCAGGCCAGCCAAGGAGGGTGCCAGCGGGGGCTCCCCAATTGCCTTACTGGTCACCCTGCAGAGGGAAGCGACCAGTGGTGGCAGTGGGGATGGGGCTGGCTGGGGAGTGGGGCCAGCAAGTGGGCAGCACCAGGCCGGCCAAAGCAGGTGTCAGTAACACCCCTCCATTATCTGACCGGTTGCCCCACAAAGTGGCTCTGATTTCTGGCCAAGCCTAGGGACCCTACCCAGGCATAAATTTTGCGCATCAGGCCTGTAGTAATCTGATAAAGACTGAAAAGTATTAAACTTAAGACGTTTAATAAAATGACATTCAAAATATAAATATGTGCAAACATCCATATGTTTAACAACATCCCCATTTCTTATGGGACTGTCATATAAATAGCCATTAAAGTTTCACAGCTGAAAATGAAACTAAGCCCATTAGGTACCTTCTTGGATCTTACCACAACCAAACAGACCCTGGAACCATCTCATTTTCTCTTGGCCATTTTGATTGACATTTGAATTGAATGAGAAGCAGAAAATTCATGTTCAACTCAATTTTTTGTGAGATTTAAAACAAGCTTACTGAGATTTGGAGAAATCTTAAAACAAAAGGGATTGTGTTACAATTTAGCTCATAACCTGATATTGTCACTGCTTTTTAAAACATTGATGACCCAATTTACAAAATCGATGGTAACATAGTCACTTATACTTGATGATATTTTATAATATTCTAAAGGGCACCAAAAAAAAATGTTGCTAATTAAACTAACAAAAAAAGAAAATCTAATATAAATTAAAGTTTAAACCCTTAATACTGCACTTTGCAACGCTGTTCTGATAACCACTAGTTTTACATTTCTCTGAATTTTAAACAAAGTAATAATCTCCTGTGTCGCCAATATATTAAAACTTTGGAGCAGCTGGACCACTGCAGAAAGCATGAAGTTACACAGGCTGGGTTTCACATCCCTGCTCTGCTCTTTCCTACCTCCAGACTTTCCATTCATGTTAGCTCCAGTTCATGCAGGTTCCTATAGTCTGCCCTCTGTAAATAGAACATCCTGTTTTCTCAATGACCCTCACATGTTACCAGTGATATGCAATCAGTAAACAATTTTAAAGCATTTAACCAAATCCCGACTTTTATCCCCCTTTCCCTCAGCTTCCCCGAAGGCACCATTGCCGAAGAGCTCCGCCGCAGACATGCTGAAGGCTCCTTCTCTGATGAGATGAACACAGTTCTTGATAATCTTGCCACCCGGGACTTTATAAACTGGCTGCTCCAAAACAAAATTACTGACAGGTGATTTCATTTTAGTGCATTCTTAAAGCCATCAAAACTTCCATCAATTGTATCATGCAGCTACAGGTTGTTCCTTGTGTGGGGGAAGAGAGACTTTACTCTCTTGGTAGATAAGCAAAAGTATGACTCATTTAAGAATACATCATTGTATTTGTTTTAGTTAATTACACTTTTACTCATTCACCCACTTACTCCAAAAACATTTCCTGAGTGTCAATTAAGGGACAGGGCATTAGGAACACAGATAAGAATAAGAAATGGAAATATACGGCATTCACATGATAATGTGACATTCTATATTGCTCTGTATTTTGAATTTTTAGCACAAATAAATTTGGTATTACATACTTAATATAATAAGGATAGTAATAGAAATCTAACCACCAAAAGTAACCACTTACCTTGGTGGGTTATAATGGCTTTTTATAACTATTTATACACTTTATATTTCTTGATAGGGGAACTTTAGGATGTCATCTTTGAATGCAAATATTTGAAAAGTTCAGAAGGCTAAGGGATTCATAAGACAAAAAGATTAATAAATAACTTTTTACCAAAATAAATCTTTAAAATATTTCCCGGATAATTTAACTACATCATCTGAGTATGATAGCTCTTACATGACTGTCTTTTTCTTTTATCTTTAGGAAGTAAGTATGTCACTACTCAAGATCATCTTCATAACGTCACCTACCAGCCACATGGGAGTTTGAAATTTTAAGTTCTGTGAAATGTAAGAGGTGTATTCTGAAGCCATGTTGCTTTGCATGCCAATGAATAGATTGTATTTTAAGGCTGTGTTGCCAAAAGAGTATAATGGAATAAACTATTGTCAAACGATTGCTAAAATGTCAGCTTTAAAAAAATCTCTTGTTTTCTTCTTATTTTGGATGAAGTACCCTAACCTGCTTATAGTTAGCAATGAAATTGCTTTTCTATGATATGATTTGTACATATAACTTATTCCAATCACAGCCTCTTTGCATTAAAATAAGGATTGGGCTGGTAGCCAGAGTGGTGAAACTGGAAAGAAAACTTTCTTCTTGAAACTTTTGTCATAAAAATGCTCAGCTTTCAATATATCAAAGACATACTTAAATAAAATCTTCAAGCTTCTTTGCTATTGTCTGTTTTCTCTTCTTCATGCCCCCGCTCCTTCCAAACATCTCTTCTTCCTGAGCCTGAAGTCCACAACCCAACTCTGGTACTCAGGCAATGCTTCATGTTGTTAACATTCTGAGCCAATATTGGAAACACATGATATTTTATATAAATGTATTGTTTTCTGGCTTCTCTTGAAAGATTAGGACATCAGACAACATTAGACCCACAAAACAAAACTCTTCTGGAGAGAAATACCAGCTGCCTCCTTTTGAAGAGTCACAGCTCATTATTGTGCCCCCTACACACACACACATACACACACACACACACACACACACACACACACACTGCACACTTATATGCGCTCATATACCCACACCCATGTAATGTACACAGTAGGCACTCTTCCCTGGCCTACTTTACTTATGCATCTCACTTACCTGGCACCTGCTGACATTTAAGTAACTGTCATGCCCTATACCTTATCTCCCCATCCTGCATTGTCCAGTTTCTTGGGCCAGTCTGATGTCATTGCCATGCCAAACATTTTTGTTTCTTATATACAGCATTGCCAATGCCTTTCCTCTCTTTTTTATTGAAATACTAGAAGCCCAATGCATAAAATTTGTGCAAGGATCTCAGCCCCTCCTACTTCCACTCCCTCCGTGGAGGCTGCCTCGGGCCCCATCTGCTGTGGCTTCATCTGGAAGGTCATCCAGAATGACGTCCAGTCTAATTAGCATATTAAGCTTTTATTATTAGAAATAATCAGCATACAACATTGTGTAAGTTTAAATTGTACAATGACCAAATTTTATACATTTATTTATTGTAATATGATTACCACCTTAGTTTTAGCAAACCTTCTTGTCAAGTTACATAATGATTTTTTCTTAAGGGCATGAGAACTTTTAAGATATAGCTAGCAAATTGTAAGTAAATAATACAGTATTGTGGATTTTAATCGCTATGCTCTGCATTGGATGGCAGAATTTACTCATCTTCCAGTTGCAAGTTTGTACCCTTTGAGAATGTGTCCCCAATTCCCCCACCCCTAGGCCCTGGTAATCACCATTCCACTCTCTGTGTCTATGCATTTGGCTTTTTAGATTTCACATATAAGTGATATTATACAATATTTGTTATTCTTTGTCTGGCTTAGCTCACTAAGCATAATATCCTCAAAGTTCATTCACACTGTTGATAAATGGCAGAATTTTCTTCTTTCTCAGGGCTGAGCTGACAGAGTAAACCGACAAGAAAATCAATAAGATCTGATAAACTCAATCAACTAAATACACTTAACATTTATGGTATATTGCACCTAAGAATAATAAAATTAATATTTTAAGTACACTTTAAATATTTACCAAGATTGACTTATGCTGGATCAAAAATCTTCAATAAATTTCAATGACTGAAATTATTTAGAGTATGATCTTTGACCCAGTGGAATTAAGCTAAAAATTAAAATTAAAAAAATACCTTACCTATTCACAACTGCTTGAAACTAGGCAATCACGTCTATATAACCCATGGGTCAAAGAAGAGATCATAGTAAAATAAAATTAAATATTTTTGAATTCTATGATAATGAAGATATAATAAATACAAACTGGAGATACAACTAAAGCAGTGCTTATGGCTATAAGATAGCTTTGAATACATTTTTTAGGAAAGAAGAAATTAGAAAACAATAGCTTAACTTTTTACCTCAAAAAACTGGAAGAAAAAAAAATCAACTCTCAAAAAGTAAACAAGAGAAAATGAAAAAGATAAGAGAAAATAATGAAATACACAAAAATGGGCAATAAAAATGAAGAAAGCCAAAAGTTAATTATTTGATCAGATTAGTAAAATCAATAAGTTCATAGCAAGACTAGGCAAGAAAAAAAAGAGAGAGAAAGTTACCAGTATCATATATAATAAAAGCATAGTATGCAAATCGACCGAACGAACAACGGCAGAATGACCAGTCAGCAGGGGGCAGGGCCAGTGAGCAGGCTGTGCCAGGCCAGCCAAGGTGCATGCCAGCGGGCAGAGGAAGGGAACAGCCTTGTGGGCGGGGGCAGCACCAGCAGCAACCAAGGGGCAATAGAGGGGCCAGCACCATTCTCTGATAGGCCCATCTGGTCACTTCCTGCAGAGGGAGGCCAGGCAGCAATGGCAGGGTGATGGGGGCAGCGTTATCCTCTGATTGTCTGTACCATCACCTCCACAGAGTGAGGCCATATATCAGCTAGGACATCCCCTGAGGACTCCTGGACTGTGAGAGGGCTCAGGCTGGACTGAGGGGACCCCCCTGCCCCCGCATCTCAGTGCACAAATTTTCACTGGGCCTCTAGTCTATAATAAAAGGAGAAAATTCTAAAGATTTTACAGACAATAAAAGAATAATAAGAATATACAGGGATGGACAAAAGTAGGTTTACAGTTGTTCATATGGGAAAAAACACATGTGGATTATGATTATTACAATAGCTTTATTAACTTTGTGTTTAGCATATTCATAAACTATAAACCTACTTTTGCCCACCTCTGTATAAAAGTGTATGCATTACAAATTTGGCAATTAGATGAACAAACTCTTTTAAAATATTACTAAAATAGACACAAATACTACACTTGATCTTAGCCAAAAAATACAAATAATAGGAAAATCTTAATAGTCCTCTTTGTACTCTAAACGTTGAATGTGTTATTTTTTTAAATTTTCCAGAAAGAACTTCTGGCCCAGATGGTTTAACAGGTGAATTATTCTAAACATTTAAGGAAGAAAAGACACCAACATTACATAAACTCTTCAAAATAAGGGAAAAATAAGGAATATTTCCCAGCTCATTTTATGAGGCCAGGATAATATTGATACAAAAATCTAACAAAGATTTTATAGAAAAGGAAAAGACCAATGTGATTAATGAACAGAGGTGAAAAATCCTATACAAAATATCAATAATCAAATCTAGCAATATATAAGAAAAATATAACAATACAAACATGGTGCATTCTAAGAATTTCTGGATGGTTTATCATGTTTTGCAAATCAATGTAATTCACAACACTAACAGAAATAAACAGGAGAAAATTAATATGCTTTTTTCAGTAAATGTAGCAAACACACCTGATGAAATTCAAGATCCATTAACATTTTGTTAAACCCTCAGAAAATAGTAATAAAGTTAAAATCTCTACTAAGGTAGAAAAAATAATTTTAGGAATAAATTATCAAAATTAGGACTTTATAAAAAGTAATAAAATAGAACAGCATTAGCCAGCCTAAGCAAAGAATAAAAGTAAACAATAGAGGGCTTAGCAAAGTTACAGTTGTGAGTACACAAAACATGGAGCTTATTCCTGTATTATTATTTCTTAATTATAGTATTATTTATTTGTATTACATCTACTTTTCTCAGCCTTGTATATAAAATAAAATTAATTTGGAAATAACCATTGAAACAGGTGAATTAAAACAAATTTGAGACTGCTGAAAGTGCTGAACAAAAATTTTAAATCTAAGAGATACAACTTTTAATGAAATTTTTAAAAATTGTCACTAGTAGAGACAAAAAGCTTAAACAGACTGATTTCCATAAAAGAAGTATTCAAAAGTATTAAAGAACCAACTCATAAAATGGTATAAATCCAGATGGTTTCACATGGAATATCTATCAAACTTTCAAAGAGTGAGTAAATAACATGCTTCATAAATTATTCCAGAGGCTGGGGGAAATAAGGAGAAGAATGACCTAATTCTTTTAATAAACTGAGTATAACATTGAAACCTATACTTGATTAAGCTAGAGGAAACAAAAAGAAAAGTATGGGCTCATCTCGCTTATAAATCTTGATTTTGAAATCCTAAAAAATAATCAGCAAATAGAATTCAACAACATATTAAAAATATTAATACACCATGACCCAGTGTAATTTATTCCAAATTACCAAGGGTGTTTCAATATTAGGAAATTTATTGATCTAATTATATCATATTAAGACATCTAAAATTTTATTTTATTGTTATCTCCACACATGCTGCATTGCTGGAAAATAAATAAGATTCACTAAAAAAGAGATTTGACAGGAAACCAGGAAGGCTGGTCAACAACCTTAATTGCTCTAATCTTTAGTTGAGACATTGTTAGCCGAAGCAGCCTCCACCTTGTTTGTCCTGTGTAAGTTTCTGTTATTTCCTGCCTAAGGGCTCCATGTAAATTTCTGTTTATGTTGCCTAAGATGTTTTCCCCAAAGCCTCAATAAAAGGGTATGGCAGGGCCAAAGAAGTGAGTAGTTCTTTCACTAGAGTTGGACTACCGCCTGGCCCTCCATGTCGCCAAGTTGAATTTCTTCAAGTCTCAAGACTCTTCATTTGTGTGCGGCCGTTCTCCAGAACCTGAACCCTGAATTGGAACTCTTTCTAAGCCGGCCGTGAAAGAGAGTCCTATACTGCATATATGTGTTTGTCTGTACAGATATGTATAATTATATATGACACCCAATGTCATTGATAGTTCTGTGCCTTTAAGAGGAAAAAAAAAATACAATGAAACTAATTTTACTGTAGGCCAATTGATACAAACAAGAGTTAAGTTCCTGTGGCATCTCATCAATGTTACAATAAAGCAACCTTGAACAAAACAATATTATTTAAGGACTTGCCGTAAACACTGAACGAGGTTTTTAGAGGCTGGAGGGGAAACAGAACATTTAGTTTGGTCATTGAAAAGATATCCAGTTGGCTTCCACCTCTATCCCTACCCCACAAGGACCTACTAGAACTTGTCCCACAAAACAATGGTGGAGATGTACTTACAGTGGGTTAAGAAGAGACAAAATGAAATGAGGGGTACAGGTAACAAAACACTGTGGTCTCTGTGGTCTTCCAGGTTTTTCCCAAGAGAAGTGTCCTTATACCTAAGGAGGACATAGGAGCAGTATGGTTGAAAGAGGGGGAGGACTTGACTCTACATTTGAAAACTGTATTATATAAAATTGAAAAATGTATATACCTACTA